ACATTGGTGTTCTTTGTCATAACTTGATTTGGGATATGCAAATATAGCGATATTTTTCTAGAGGAATATCTTTGTAGCATCATCTATACTAAGATACAGGTGAAACAAGTAAGGATAGGACCAAGAATATGTGAGTTTAGGCATGGCTGGAGGCCAAAAGTCATAATCAGGACAACCAATGGGACAAGAGTCTAGAAGCCCTGGTCAGATGAAATAGTTGGGTAGTTATTGCAGATGCCTGGCTCATAGTATATGTTCAACAAATCATGGTTGAATGAATTAATAAGTAGTTGAATTTAGCAAAGTTTGTGAGATAGAGAAAATATCAAAGTCAGAGGACAAAAGGTTTGGTCTGATATTATGAACATTGTGGAGTTTGAGGCAGCATGGCCATCCTCCAGGAACAATGAAATGCATTCTGCTCATAGGAATGGAGCTGTTTGTCCTTTGGCCTATTTTATTCTTCCAGCTGTGTATCATTGGCAGCTCTGAGTCCCAGGTGAATAATTATAGCTGGAGAAAGTCAAAGGCCTGCAGGTGCATCCTGAGCTCCATTAGAACAGGGGCAGAGGTGTTAGGATTATGGGGAGATTCTTACATTATCATTGCATATGAACATTCTCTCTTCCCAGTGGTGTTTTATGTATAACAGTGGAATATGTCCCATTTGTTAGCCAAATGATCTCAACTATCCAGGGCAGCCCATCATGCATATCTGCTTCTAGGCAGTGAGATAACCCAACCAAGGTTTATGGAAGCCTTTTCCAGCCAGGAGATATACTAAAGTGAAGCTCCTGGCTTCAGGTGCCATCTTAACATAAGTAACCAGAGTTCCTTTCATGTAAGGGTGGTGAAGGCTGGAATTAGAACATAATCTTGCCTCAGATATCTCTAGATAGTCAGAGGGTCCCACCTACTCCTATTATAGGGTATTTATATCTTTACTAGAGACCCAGTGCATGAGTTCATGCACAGGTAGAGTTCTGGGGGGGGGGGGGGCACGATTGACCCTCTGGGCGGGCAGTGGGATGCCCTTGCCGGCTCGGGATCTGGATCCATCCCACTGACATTTGTGCCAGTTGTTGGTTGCCATCTAGCAGCTGCTTTTATATACTTTCTTCCTTGTGGAGTGCCTAGGGAGGGGAAGTGGCTGTGATGCCCAAGGCTGAGTTTCAGGAGGCTGGAGGCGCTGTCGGAATCATGCTGGTGGTGTTGGTCCATTGGTGCCTGGCCCGTTCTCCGGAGATTGGACCTGCAGGACTACAAAGGGAGTGGCTACCACGCTGGCCAGTGGGCCACAGGATGGGTCTGTCAGCTGAGCAGCGTTCCCACTGTGGGAGTGCACTGACCACCAGGGGGCAGCTCCTGTGTTGAGCATCTGCCCCCTGGTGCTCAGTGTGCATCATAGCAACTGGTCATTCCAGTTGTTCTGGTCGTTCGGTCATTCGGTCACTTAGGCTCCTATAATAATAAAAGCATAATATGCTAATTAGACCAGATGTCCTTCTGGACATCCTTCCGGATGATGTTCCAGACAAAGCCAAGGCTGTGAGGACTGAGGCAAGCCGCCGCAGCTGCAAGGGCCAAGCCCCTTGCATGAATTTCGTGCATCGGGCCTCTAGTTTATAGATAGATAGATAGATAGATAGATAGATAGATAGATATAGATACTAGAGGCCCAGTGAATGAATTCATGCATGGGTGGGGTCCCTCAGCCTGGCCGGAAATCAGAGCCAATCGGGGCAGTGGCAGGTTGGCCAGGGGGGACAGACCGTGGGAGGTTGTCAGGCAGGGGGAGGGGCTTTGGGAGTTTGCCTAGATGGGGGGAGGGGCCGCAGGAGGTTGGCTGCAGGAGGTTAGCCATTGGGCTGGCTAGCCGGGGGGAAGGGGCCAAGGGAGGTTGACTGGTCTCCTTGATTGGGGCCCACGGGACTGGCAGGGGGGAAGGGCTGTGAGAGGTTGGTTGGCCAAGGGGAGGGGCCACAGGAGGTTTGGAGTGCACTGACCACCAGGGGCAGCTCCTGCATCGATCGTCTGCCCCCAGGTGGCCAGAGCATGTCATAGCGACCTGTCAACTGGTCGTTCAGTCGTTCGGTGGTTCGGTCACTTAGGCGTATATATATACACATATATATACTAGTGGCCTGGTGCACAAAATTCGTGCATGGGGGGGTGTTCCTCAGCCCAGCCTGCACTCTCTCCAATCTGGGACCCCTCGAAGGATGTCTTACTGCTGGTTTACATGGATCGGGCCTAAACAGGCAGTCAGACATCCCTCTCACAATCCGGGACTGCTGGCTCCTAATCATTCACCTGCCTGCCTGCCTGATTGCCCCTAACAACTCTGCCTGCCGGCCTGCTCGCCCCCAACTGCCCCTGGCTGCCGGCCTGCTCGCCCCCAAATGCCCCCCGCCAGCCTGACCACCCCCAACTACCCCCCATGCCAGTGTGCTCATCCCCAACTGCCCCCCTGCTGGCCTGCTCCCTCCAAATTGCCCCCCTGCTGTCCTGATCACCTCCAACTGACCCCCACTGATGGCCTGCTCGCCCCCAACTGGCCCCCCTGCTGGTCTGCTTACCCCCAACGGCCCCGCCCCCCATCAGCATGATCACCCATAACTGCTGTCCCATCCTGGCCTGATCACCCACAACTGCCCTCCCCTCTTGGCTTCTAACCACCTCTACCTCAGCCCCGCCACCATGGCTTTGTCCAGAAGAACATCTGGAAGGTCTCCTGGAAGGTCTCCCAGTCTAATTAGCATATTACCCTTTTATTAGTATAGATAGAGGCCTGGTGCACGGGTGGGGGCCAGCTGGTTTGCCCTGAAAGGTGTCCCAGATCAGGGTGGGAGTCCTGTTAGGGTGCTTGGCCAGCCTGGGTGAAGGGCTGAGGGCTGTTTTCAGGCTGGCTACACCCCCTTCAGGGCAGGGGTCCCCACTGGGGTGCCTGGCCAGCCTGGGTGAGGAGCTGATGGCTGTTTGCAGGCTATTCAAGCCCCCAGTGGGGACCCTCACCCCATGGGGGTGTGGCCAGCCTGAGTGAGGGGCTGAGGGCTGTTTTCAGGCTGGCCACACCCCCTTCAGGGTGGGGGTCCCTACTGGGGTGCCTGGCCAGCCTGGGTGAGGGGCTGATGGCTGTTTGCAGGCTGGCCAAGCTCCCCAGTGGGGACTCTCACCCCATGGGGGTGTGGCCAGCCTGGGTGAGGGGCTGATGGCCGTTTTCAGCCTGGCCACGCCCCCCAGTGACCCAAGCTCCCAGCCTCTCCTTTTTTTCTTTTTTTTTTCAGTGCCTCCTTGAGCGGAGGCCAGGGCCAGCTGGAAGCAGGTATCTGGGATTTATTTATCTTCTATAATTGAAACTTTGTAGACTTGAGCAGAGGCCAGGGCCGACCAGGGCAGGCAGGAAGCTTGGCTTCCTCCATCGCCCATGGCAACCCAAACCTCCTGCTCACTCCAGCTCTGTGGCTGCTGCCATCTTAGTTGGGTTAATTTGCATACTTTCTCCTGATTGGCTGGTGGGTGTAGTGGAGTGATGATTAATTTGTATGTTTCTCTTTTATTAGTATAGATATATAGATGTTATGCTTTGTTCCCCCTTCAGCAGGTAGAACCAAATCATTAATGGTATAGGTAAGTGGCTGCTTCATTCTGTAAATTACCTTTTGGTCAGGTTTTAACCATATTCTAATCAGATCTGTTTTCAATGGAAAAAGATTGATGTGTTTTAAAAACAAATATTTAAATGTTTGCCTGCCTTTTTTTTAATGTATTTTTATTGATTTCAGAGAAGAAGGGAGAGGGAGAGAGAGATAGAAACATCAATGATGAGAATGAATCATTGAGTGGTTGTCTCCTGCACGCCCTCTCCTGGGGATCAATCCCACAACCTGGGCATGTGCCCTTGACTGGAATTGAACCCAGAACCCTTCAGTCTGAAGGCTGACGCTCTATCCAAGGAGCCAAATCAGCCAGGGCTTGCCTGTCTTTTAAAAGTATTATTTGCAAGTATCTAGGTTTAATGAATATTAATAGTTCTATATGAGCCTATGGTCACTACATTAACTTTAAAATTTTTTTTTCTACAAATAAGGGAATTTTGAAAAACGATGTAACTTTTTCCATGTGGCCCTTCTAAAACCAATGGGGACTAATACCTTGAGTAATTATATTCATTAATTTTTTCAGGAAAAATATATATGAAGAGGTCAGCTCTGGGCCAATACAGCAAAAACAGAAAAATATACATTCTCAAAGCACAGTTAACTCTCTGGCTAAATGTGTGAAGGGAAAACCTAATTTGCCCATACTGGAAGGATGTATATTTTGAAATAAATCTTCTTTTGGAAGCTGTGTCAAATTAGTTGGCCATGGATTGAACAAGAATAATAGGGAATGCACTTGTATAAAACCCAGCTGCTGTCTCTAATATTTGGTAATGAACTGCTTTTTGTATATGAAGATGACGACACTAACCAACTGGAAGAATGGCATGTGCTGTGAGTATGTGTCTGCAGGAGTGAGGCTGGATTATTTCAATCTTCCACACTCTAGGGCCCAGCCCCTCTTGGATCTCTTGCACATATTTGTGTAAACTAAATGTAGTCTGTGACCAAGTAACAGAGTCAAGACAACTGGCAGAGAAAAAGTTCAAATCCATGTCTTTGGTCTATTTAGTCTTGCATTCAAATACACTGAGCTAATCATTCACACATCACTGAACATCACAAATATGTATAGTTACCAAGAGTCATAAATAATAATTTCCTCTATTATTCTGTCTTGACTACTGCCCATTGCATAAAAGTTTCAGGTCATATCATCATATGACTAGGTTATGTTGAAATGTACTGGATTTGTTATAACATGGCCGATGACTTATTTTTCCAACTACTAACAACAGTTGCTTATTATAGTGCTTATTCCAGCCTGTTAGTGGTTATAGATTTTTAGGAAAGAACCTGCTAATATGTACAACCCTTTTGTTGTTCTTTATATTTAAGACAACAAGGAATATGATGCCTATCTCTCTTACACAAAAGTGGATCAAGATACTTTAGACTGTGACAATCCTGAAGAAGAGCAGTTTGCTCTTGAAATACTGCCAGATGTCCTAGAAAAACATTATGGATATAAACTATTCATCCCAGAAAGAGACCTGATTCCAAGTGGAAGTAAGTACTATCAAGTTTTGTATTTTGAAAGTTTGGTTTCCTTAGGAAGTTATACAGAGGCTTCAAACATTACAGCCAAGTATTTAGATAGTTGTTTCTCACAGGAAATTTTATTAAATTCAAATTTCTCCCCAGTGATTGTGTTCTGACTTTTTAACATCCACATTTTAAAAGGCACTTTCACTTATATTTCAGATATAGTTTTAAGTTGTACCTTAATAGTCTATTTTATTATATTGCCTTTGTGTTCTGAGGAAATGATCCTCCTTAAAAAATAGTCTGTATAAGTCAGCTAAAGTAGTTTCAATGCATTTTTATTCCAAAGCTGGTCTTTTGTCATTGTATTTCTACATATACATACAATCATTGTCACTAATAACTCTGAATTTATGCTTTGTTATTCATTTTCAGATTTATAGAAAATCCACTTAAATAGGTATGTGAGACCACTGGGAATTGTACTTTCACTGTATATTTAAGTTATTTTTAAGAAGTTGTGGATTATGTGGGCTTGAATGATACTTTAAAATTATGTTATACATTGAAAGCTATTTTTGAGCTTTCAGAATAAATTTGGTCCAAGTAAAAATATATATTTTGTTCAGAATGTTTACAGGGTAAAGTGTATGGGAAATACAGAAAAGCCTAAGAAATGGTCCTAGTCCTCAAAGATCTTAAAATACCATTGAGGAAAATAAAAGTACTAGAATTAATTTGCATGTGAGTTTATGTTAATATCCTTGAGAGGGGAAAACTGAAATGTAACCACAAGTCAGAATATGGTTATTTACTTTTTTCTTTAATATATTTTTATTAATTTCAGAGAGAAAGGGAGAAATAGAAACATCAATGATGAGATAGAATAATTAATCGGTTGCCTCCTGCATGCCCCCTACTAGGGATGGAGCCCATAACCCGGGCAGGTGTCCTGACTGAATGGAACCATGACCTCCTGTTTCATAGTTCGATGCTCAACCACTGAGCAACACCAGCTGGGTCATTTATATACTTGTGACAACATAAATAAAAGGTTATATTTTCAATACTTCACAGTATATACAATATTTTCACATACATAATTTTTTATTTCATTGCTACAATAACCCTATGTAGAGAGAAAGCAGGTACTGTCCTCTTACAGATGAGAAAATAAGGCCCAAAAGAATTTTCAGATTAGGCAGCTGGTAAGTGTTAGAGCTGGAATTAGAGCCTAGGTATGTTTGCCTCTGGTTCTCACTTCACTAGATCATGCTATTACTCAATAACATTTATTCAGATTATCAGCAGTCCACGGTGGTCACTAAACTGACAGGAGACAAATTGAAACAACTGAGTTCTGGTCGCTCATCTATTTTCTCAGAGTGCAAATGTGCCTATGTATATATGTGCGTGTGTATGTGAGTATGCACATTTACATGTTCATAGAAAAGAATAAAGAAAACAGTATTTACCAGTCCATTACTTTCCTGTACCACAAATGAAAGAATTTCCCAAACTTCTTCACATGGCCCTTTGCTTTTTTCTCTCTGTAATTTTCTTCATTTTGATGATTTGACATATCACTTCTATACTGATCAAGCCTTGATGAAAATGCTGATACCTCAATCATTTTTTATTCTTCTGTATATCTTTCCCAAATCCGGTGTCTATTGCATTTTTTCCATTCTCACTTCTACCATTCTAGCATTGGCCTTATTTACCTCATTTTTGTAATGTTGATTACTCTCTACCTTCCCTATTTGTCCTTTCATCCATCTTGTCCCACTAATATGTATACTCCCTTGATCACATCACTCCCCTATTCAACATTCTTAAATTGTTCACCATTTCCTATAAAATAAAACATAACTTTTAACTAAGCACTTCTATAGTCTGGTGTCAACTCAGATTTATTTTCCAAAATTATCTCCTACCATTTGCCCTACTTATATCTTCCACTATAGTCAAACTGTGCCTTTGATATACCTTATGTGTCTCTGCAATGTTTTTGTTCATGTTAGTATTTTATACCTTTATAAATCCTAGTTGTCCTTCTCCATATAACTGCCTCTGTGGAAAGTCAATAATAATTTCTCTAGCCCTTCATGATGTATAATCACTTGTTTGACTATAAATTTTGTACTCTTGTGATATTTTGTATTATTTTATGTACATTTCCATCTATTTATGTCAGCAAGATTGCAAGCTCCATGAGGGAAGGGACTCTATCTCATTTATCCTCATGCCCCTGTCTTCATCTAGCAGATTAGTTGAGCTCATTGGATGCTTCATAGATGCTTGTTGATTTTGTTTGAACAGTGTTGGTTTAAGACATGAGGAAATAATAAGAATAAAATATGTAAGGGTTTACATTTTTCATTGTTTTATATTTTAGTTTTCAATTATACTTTACATTCAATAATATTCTATATTAGTTTGAGGTGCACAGCATAGATTTGTGCATGTCGGTATGTGAAAGACATTTTTAAAAAAAAAAGTGAATATGAAAGCTACAAAGTGGTTTTCCACTGAAAGAAAAAATATTGTGAGCAATTCATAGGGATGGCATCAATCCTTAAAACAGGCCAATGAATATAGTATTTTTATTTTTTCAGATATTTGTAAAAGTAGTTATAAGGGGTTCATTCATCACTGATAAAATTTTAAGTACTTCTTTACTATTTTTGCTTAATTTTTAGATTACTATGTAGGTTTTTTTTTCAAGATCAACTTATTAAATGTAGAAATTCAGTAAAATCTATTTTAGAGTGATATAGCCTAAATTACATTAAAATAACATCATTACCAAGCAGAATTTATATTCAATGTCAAGTCATCTTGAGTAGAACTCGATGTGGTGCCAGTCTTTCTGCCTTCTTGCATTCCAAAATTGTTGGCTCCATAATAGCGAGTGTTTATCAACCCCACCAAGTGAATAGAAATGGCAGTCTTTATGTCTGAACATTTCATCATCATCTTTATTCTGAACTAGAAAACAATGCTTCACCATTATATGTTAGAAAGGGAAATGAGGACAACGTGGAACATAGGAGATCCACTTACCTGAGACTCAGTAGATGACACTTGCTTATTGTGTAAAGAAGCACCTATGTGTATATGGCTGAGAATGAGACCCAGAGAGCATAATGGGGAGAGAGATGCATCTCAGAGTTATGTCCTCTTAGTGCTCCCAGATAGTCTATTTTGATGACTTGGCAGGTCAATTGAATCAATCTGCTATGTCAATTTAGCCAAATAGGTGGTAGAATATTTTACACCTCATTGAGTCAGGTGATTGTTTGGCTGAATTGATTGAAATTAATTAGTTTTTTTGCCATATCATAGACAGGTCTGAACATTCTTCTTGACCATAGGGTGTGAGGCTAATATAAGCTGTATTTCCTATCTCAAAACTACAATAGTTGAGAATATTAACAAACTATCTAAAAGATTAGAGGAGGTTGCCCTGGCCGGTTGGCTCAGTTGGTTGGAGCATCATCCCATACCAAAAGGTTGTGGGTTAAATCCCCAGTCAGAGGTGACCCATCGATGTTTCTCTTTCACGTCAATGTTTCTCTCTCTCTTTCTCTCTCCTTACTCTCTTTCTAAAAAATTAATAAAACAAAAAAGCATCCTCAGGTGAGGATTAAAACAAAAAAAAAGATGATAGGAGGTTATCACCTACTATACCTTGGCATTTAAATACTTTAACATAGAAACACCCAAGAAGATGCCATCAGAATGAGTAGAGATTTTATATTCCATAGCAATAATTTTAACTTTTTGAGATTACACAACCATCAGACTGAGCAGGGTCTTGGATCCTGTATACTCAGTGGTGGACAGGGAGACTCCTTTTACAAGTAAGCCATTGAGACAACTATGCAATTTTTAGATACAACCACTGGAGGGTGTTTGACTTTAATCCTTCCTTCCTGAACGGGGAAATTCATGTTCTCTGAATTCCAAGTTTGGAGTGTAACCTGCCGAAGTTTTTAAAAAGGTCCTTTGACAATTTTACTTTTCCATCAACATTTCAGAGCTGGCTGAGCAGTCATCATGTCACGATTAACGAGTTTTTCCTTGGCATTTTTAGCATGCATTCAGGAAGTCGATGAAGTATATGAATAATATATTTGATTTACACATGAATGACAGAGTAGAACATTTTGGACTTGGTGTATGTATGTTATTAAAGAAGCTTCTGTGGTCTGTACTTGCAGTCATTGGTACAGATTTAACAGGTTATGCTATATAAATATAGACACATTCCTGTGTGTGGGGGGGGGGGAGGGAACTAGTTACAATATTATAAGCTATGTTTGTCCCTCGCATATCATTTAAAACATGTTGATCCAAGACTACTCCTTCCTCAAAAAACTAGCAATGAGTCCTTTGAGGATTGTAAAAGCAAACTTTATAATATTCTTGACCTACAATAATAATTTTCTATGAATCAAATTAATGAAGTCTATGAAATAAACCCATTCATATTTAATGCCTTTAGTTTCCTTTGTACCACTCTCATAGTGTTCCAATTCAAAATCATTAATACCCAAAATCATTAACCTTTCCAATATATACAGTTTTAAAAGCACATGAATGGTGAATGGGTCTCTCTCCCTATTTCTTCCTCTCTCTCTCTCTCTCTCTCTCTCTCTCTCTCTCTCTCTCCATCTCTCTCTCTCTTTTTCTCTCCCTCTCTCTCTTCCAAAAATCATGGCACTTTCCAAGTTGAGGTGGAAGTGTCTGTACCTTTCTCACATGACCTACTAGGAAAGTGTCCTTTGGTCATCATGAACCAGCCGAGATGTGAAGATTTGACATATTTTCTCTAATGCTAAAACTAAAAGTCTTCAGATCTGGATATTATTTTCCTGGCAGTAACCAACCTTTCCATTCTTGGGCATGTAGCCAGGATCTTTCTTATGTTTTCTCAGGTTTGGTGCCTGAATGTGGCAAGAATTCCTACTTTCCAGTAAAAGTTTGGTCTGTCTCTTCCCAGGCTAGAAACATCTGTC